CCATGGTACGTGCTTAGTAATCTCAACACTTGGAACAAAAATTAAAGAAGGAGCAAGAATTTAAGGTCAGCCTGGACTACACAGTGAGATGCTATCTCAAAAAGAAGAAAAATTAAAGAAAATCTAAACAAATGGAAAGATATTTAGACTTGATATTATGATAGCCAAATTCACCAAAGTGAATACCATGTATTTAATGCAATTCTCATCACAATCTCAGAGGCCTTTATCTGCAGTCATTAACAAGCAAGCTGATCCTAAAATTCATATGGAAATGCAAGGGACACAAGACATCCAAAATTATTGTGATAAAGGGGATAAAACGGGTACTTCCCGGTTTCAACATTTATCACAAAACTACGACTGTGTGACAGATGTAGGGGTGTAGTTCACGGGTAGAGCACTTGCCTAGCACACATCAAGCCTTGGGTTCAGTGCCTGGCACCACAAAAAAGAATGGTGGTGCCAGCATAACTACAGAAATATAGACCAGCAGAAGTGGAAATCCAGAGATAAACTCTCACATTTATAGTCAAAAGAGTACTGAGACAACTCAATAAGAGGACTAATCTTTTCAACAAATGGCGTTAGATCACTGGATACCCACATGCAAAAGAATTAAGATGGACCCCACCTCAGCCATGTATGGAAATTAACTCAAAATAATCTGGAGATCTAAGGGTAAGAGCTGAAAACTACACAATCTTTAAAAGAAAACATAAGCATAAGCACAGTATGTATAATTCCTTCTTTGATGACCAATTCATTTAACAACCTAGTCACCTAGTCACAAGAATGGAACTTGGTCCTTAAATGAGGTATGTCTATATTTGAGACTTAGAATGAAGCTAGGTTTCCTTAGAACACAAAAAAATAGACCCAACAACAAAAAACAGATAAATTTGATTGTATCAAATTAAAACTATTTTGCTTCATAGGACAAGTGATACAATATATATTTGATGATATATATATATATATGACCATAATATATATTTGACATGGCATAGAAGGCCAAGGAATTTGGCTCTAATCACACAGCAGATCAACATTTACTGCATGCTTCCTTTTGATAAGGCTTGAGAGGTTTTCAAGAGGGATGCCCAATGTTCCTGGGTTTTGAACATAATTAGGCAGGACTGTAAAGCGGTCATCTGTGTTCAAAACTTTTGTCACCCGTTGCGCCGTTTGGGTCTGCTCGCTAGGCTGCCCGCCCATCGCAGAAGCAGCCCTCTCGTCACACTGGACACTTCTATCTTCCTCCCCCTTGCCCCACTTCCGTGCCTGCCCACTCATGCTCCTCCTGAAGCGCCTGCTTTAGCTGTTACTACATTTATTGAGATATCATGAGATTAATACAAGTTATTTTTTGGTCTCTACAGTTGCCAGAGGTGCTCAAAGTGGTGGCCATGAGCTTCCGGAAATTTATTAGTACAGCAAACTGCTGCTTGGATAACCTTGGTCACTGAGATTGCTGCACATGCATTTTCACTATCTTCTCTGAGGGTGGCAGTGTAGTGAGTTTTCTCCACAGGGTCTCCACGTGAGTAACACCAACTGTTGGGAAAACATCATACTATTTTTCCTTTCCGGGAGTGTGTATACATCCGCCCCACTCCCTTCCTCCCTCCTTCTCTTCCTCTCTGTCTCTCTCCTTCCCTCCCTCCCTCTCTTTCCCTCTCTCTCATCATCCACGCTACAATGAGGATGTATCTCACATGTCTGAAGTGAAACCCGGACATAAAAGGTCACCTGTTGTATGATTCCACTTATATGAAATGTCCGGAATGGGCATAAACATAGTGAGAAAATAGATTAGCGATTATCCGGGAGCTAGGCAGAGAGCTAGGGGGAGTGATTATTAATGGGCATAAGGCTTCTCTGGGAGCTGACGAAAATGTTCTGGAATTAGAAATTGGTGATTGATGCACAACTTTGTCAAAATACTGCAGGGGTATGCTTTTTAAAATGGGAGTACTTTTGTGGTATATGAATTATAATCTCAAAAAAAAAAAAGAACTAAAAGAAAGGTGCTCTTGCCAGCTGCAGTAATAGAGAGCTGGAAGGGAACCTGGAAACAGGAGCTCAGTCTGCTGGGTCAAGGAGAGCAGATAAGGGTGACGCTCATATCTACTGTTGCCTGGTGAGGGCTATGGGCCAAGCCCTGGGATAAATTTTTAATTTATATACGGTATATTTAGATACCTCTTATTTCAGTTATTCAGGATCCGAGACTATGCCCATTTTACAGATGCAGAAGCTGAGGCTCACAGAGGTTACGTCATGTGTAACGCAGGTGGCATTTTCAGTATCTTGGGCTGGAGCCCACATTGGTTAGTACATGATTTTAGGAATGAGAAAAGAGGGACTTTTTTGAGAGACACTTCAGCAAGAGCATGAGTGGGCAGGCATGGAAGTGGGGCAAGGGGGAGGAAGATAGAAGTGTCCAGTGTGACGAGAGGGCTGCTTCTGCGATGGGCGGGCAGCCTAATGACCAGACCCAAACGGTGCAACAGATGACAAAGGTTTTGAACACAGGTGACCGCTTTACAGTCCTGCCTAATTATGTTCAAAACCTAGGAACATTGGGCATCCCTCTTGGAAACCTCTCAAGCCTTATCAAAAGGAAGCATGCAGTAAATGTTGATCTGCTGTGTGATTAGAGCCAAATCCCTTGGCCTTCTATGCCATTGCCCAGATTAGGAGTATTTATTCTAGGTGGATGATTTGAATTTTGGCCTAGTGCTAAGCATGTGTTAATCCTTGATTCGACTACCTCTAGTTGCTAGCCCAGGTTAGGGGCTGGATACATGTCAAAATGGGAGAAGCTCAGAAAAGCCAGCAGCATAACCCTTAGACTGCCTACGTCCTTAGTGCCCCCTTGTGGTAAATCTGGGAACTACAGACAGAATCATGGAAATGACAATTTTCAGGTTGAGACTGCAGCTTCACCACCACCATGACCACCACCACCACCACTACCCAGGGCAAAATCTTCCCAAGGTAAAAAGCCCCGAGGCAACATTCACACCATCTACCTAGAGTCCCTGAGGCACAGCGTTGGAGAGGGCTGGCCTGCCCTCTTCTCTGGAAGGCTGCTGCTAGACATACGTTGCCCTGGGTGAGGGGGTCCTGCTGGGGCTGGGAGCCAGCTATTATTGATGTTTTCCTTAGGCAGAGATGGCTGAGTCCACTGGTACACAGAAGTCATTCACAATTCACAACCTGAGAATAACAGCCTCTGTTTCGGGGGTGCCCTAAATTAGGGCTAGGACTCTGCTTAGGTTATAATCCAGTCAGGTCAGCCAGAAAAAGGTCTGGCCTCCACCTAAATGACTGCGCTCTGTCCTGAGCGGTGTCCTGAGGCCTGCTCTGCCCTCCTGGCCACCTAGAAACTTTCTGGGGGAAACCAACTAATTTCCTTCCTTTCTCAGCCTGGTTCAGTCACAGACTCCTCCCCCTTACCTCTTCTTTCAGCCCCCATCTCCTCCTCTCTTCCTAGAAAACCTCAAACCTTCAAGGCCCAGCTCAGTACCCTGTACTCAGTCAGGTATCCTTGCTTGGGTTAGAGGTGTTCCTGTCACAGCCCTGACCACCCTAGGTATCCTCAGCTGTCTCCACTGTCTGTCTCCACAGCATTCACAGCTTGCTTCTAACATGAAGGCGGAGGACTGGCAAACGGCAGGATGGGCATTCCCATGGTGAGGAGGCTGGGAGGGATCCTTTGGTCTCAGCTGGGGAAGGTTCCAAGGTCTGTGACCACTTGGGGCACAGCCGGCCATGGGTACAGCTGGGGTCACAGGCAGGGAACACGGTTTTGGTGACTTGTAAGGACCCTTTGCCTTCGGCCATTCTAGGATTCCCAGCAGGACAGCAGCCCTGCCTCTTGGTGTTTACCTCCTCCTTGTGTGATCACTAAATCATGAGCTGGACCTAGACACTCACATCTAATGATCAGAATATGGCAATGCTGATATCACTTCCATGATTAGGTTTTAAAGGACTGTGGCTTCCATCTTGCTCACATACTCTTCCCTTTGGGCACTGGCTCTCCTTGCTCACTCTGATGCAGCCAGCTGAAACCTGAGCTGCCCTGTGGACAAATGCACGCGGCGAGGAACTAAGAGCGGCCTCTGGTTAACAGCCAGTAAGGAAGTGAATGCTGCCATCAACCATAGGAAGGGCCTTGCAAGGGATACTCCATCCCTTAGACTTTGAGATGATGACGGTGGCCTTAGCAGACACCGGGAATAGAGGATCCAGCTAAGTCTCAACTCCCAACTCTACAGATTGTGAGAGAAAAATGTTTGAGGCTGCTATGTTTTGAAGTAATTTGTCACACAGCCATTGATAACAAGCATACCAGAGGGTGCAACAGGCAGCCCAGCAGGGGCCCTAGGCATCCCCAAGTGTCGTGGCAGGGTGCAGATGGAGCTCAGCAATCATGCACAGAGGGTTCTTTTTTCCATTTATTTGTCTAGGAATATACAAAAGTCTGACATGGTACAATAATGTCACGGAGAGAAAACAACACACAGAGGAGGGGCTGGGTTGCCTGTTTGGCTCCAAGCTCCTCAGAAAGGCACAAATATGTGAGGCTTGGGTTCAGGGCCTTCTGTCCTGGACCCAGTGTGCTGTGCAGAAGGCCAGGCCCTTCTGTGAACAGAAGATGGACTCTTCCCTTACCCCAGGCTAGGGATGTGGCTCGGTCAAACCCAGGCCACTGGGAAGGACATACTCCAGGACAAGGCTGAGTCTGTGCAGAGTCCATGCCATCTGCTTCCTGAGCAAAGCCAGTTACTCTCTTACATTCTGGAGAATCCCAGAGATGGTGCCTCTGGGACAGCCCTGTCCTCAGCACATTATCACTGGCAGCTGGTCCAGGCTCAGATTTGACAGAGTAGGGGTCGGGTCAGCAAGTAGAAAGGAGACTCAGCTGGAACGTTCCAGATACTCACCACTGCCCTTCCGAAGTGGGGACAACTGTGGCCTCTGTGTCTTCCCCTGGGCAACAGGGACCAAGTCTTTCAGGTAAGCATGGGGTGGTGGGCAATAGAGGTGTTTGTGTTAGAAGTGGCTTCTGCCCCTCATGCCTGGGAGCAAAGAATGAACCACCTAACTGGCCTGAATCACTAATGACCATCCTTCCCCGATTAACCAGAACCGAGTTTTCTCTGTCATTTCAGGAAGGGAACCAGGGGTTTGAATGAGAAACCATTAAGGCCCAAGATGTGTTAGCCACCACCTAGAAAAAGACACACTGGAAGTAAAGGAGCTTAAAATATTGACTTTTTCCTTCTTAAAAAACAACTAACATTGTAATGGTTTAACAAATTATAATTTCTTTTAAATAACCCACAGACACCCATGACGCTTCCAAATTTACAGAACAAAAAGCACTTGAGAACTCGGTAGAAAACACTTTTCGATTGGTTCCTTCCAAGGATTGGATCAGTTCACCTCCAGGACTTCAGTCTCCGGGAGGCCAAACTTGGTCTTGTGCTTGTCAAAGAGCTTTACCAGGGCATCCATGTACATGGCATGGTATAGATCAATGTCCTGCTGAGATGGCTGCTCCACCTTGGGGATGGTGATGGGCTCGCCCACTGCAGGGAGGGACAGACGCATCTGGTTAGTCAACAGCAGGAAGCGTCCCCTTCCCGAGCAACACCATGATGCCGATGGTGGTGACTTTGTGCCAACTGTGTTCCAGGAAGTGTGCTTCATCCCAGACTCTTCCCTCTTAGAGGTGAGAAGATTGAATGCTAGGAACACGGGAAGGAACCTGCCCAAGGCCACAAAGCCTCTCAGCAGCAGATGAAACTGACCCTCTGCACTCTACTAGACATCCCTGTGAAACTCATGGGACTAAGTGTCCGCTTTTGCCCTGCTCTAGACAAGCCACTGTGCCTCTTTTAGCCTCGGAGTCCTCACCTGTCACCTCAGAGGGCTTTTGTAAGGATTCTGTGAAGAATACAATGTGCCCAGATGGGTGTGATAAGGGCAGGAAAGGGGAAAGGCGACCAACACTCCTAAAACGTGTGCACTGTTTAAGTTTCTTGCCCTGCACCATCTCCAAAACTCTAAGCTCTGCCTATGCTGAGATTTCTCCCAAATCTCTTCCAGTGCCATTATTTGCCCTCAGGCCATGTCGCTGGCTTCCACAAAAGCCTATAGTCTGATCTTAGGGTTTCCATTTTGCCCATTCTAACATATTTTCTACCCAGCAGCTCTTGATGTCACTTATTTATTTTTATTATTTATTTGTCAGTATTGAGGATTGAGCCTGGGGCCTTCACACTGAGCTTCGTTCCCAGACATTTTTTACTTTTTGTTTTTTTGAGACAGGGTCTCACCATGTAATTCAGGATGGCCTTCAACTCACTATGTAGCCCAGGCTGGCCTTGAACTTGTGGTGATCCTCCTGCCTCAGCCTCCCAAGTGCTGAGGTTACAAGTGTGCACCACCATGCTGGCTTTTATTTTTTATTTTGAGAGTCTCACTGAGTTGCTCAGGCTGGGCTTCAAGTTGCAATCTGGTGATCCTCCTGCCTCAGCTTCTCTGAGTGCTGTGATTACAGGCCTGTGCCATCAAGACTTGCTCTCAGAATTCACTTTAAGATGCAAACCCGAACCTGTTCTACCAAACAGCCTTTGGAAACTACGCATTCTCAAAATGGCACTGCCCGCAAGACCCCACTGTCCTCTCCAGCTACACCTGTGCAGTGTGGATGACCAGAGGAGAACTGAAGCCTAATTGGCCTCCTCTGTGAGCACAAAGGAGAAAGGCTACACTCAGGGATGATGGTATAGTGCAGGTGCTGGGGAAAAGTTAAGACAGCTGAGGTTAAGTTGTGTACCAGAATAGGTACCAATGGACATTGAAGAGCAGATGCATCTTGTTTGTGTTACTTTGATCGCTTGTACCCCTCTTTGGGTGAATAAAGGTCAGATGAGCCAGATGAGCCTTTGCCTACTGAGGCATGAGCCCAGTGGCTGCCTGCATGTTAAGCTGACTCTGTGTCTCTTTGTCATTCATTCTCGTTCACTGCTGGGTCTAGGTCCCCCACAAGTGGCAGCTGGGTGGCAAAAGCTCAGAGGAGGAGTAAGTGGGCTGGCTTCTCACAGCTTGCACCTGGGGCAGGAGGGCCCTGAGACTGGGCGGCGGGCGGGCTACAGGGAAGTGCTCTTGTTGCCTTGCTGCTTCCTTTGTCTCTAAAGTACAAAGCAGTCACCTGTCTCTGATAACACAAAGTATGTGCGTGAGCTTTGGCCCTTTAAATCCACTGCCCAGGGCCACATACTCCTGTGGGATCTCTGGCTTGTGACCTTTAACACATACCATGCGAACATGCACAGGCACACACCCATGATAAGTCATTCTCTGCAGTCCTCTGAATCGTCCCAAATACATGCAAAACAACACAGCTGAGGCCCAAGTGTAGGTTTATGCTCCAACTGTATTATTTTCCTTCTGTTCCTCAAAAATCTACATTATCTTGTTTCTGCAATTTCACTTAGGTTATCATTTCTGACAGAAGCTCTTCTCCTCTCTTCTTTTGCTGGATAATTCCTACAGTGAACAATGCCAGAATCACTTCCTCAGTGGGGTCCACTGTGACCCACAAGAGCACCTGGACACCCCAATCACAGCCTTGGTGGTCTTTGCCGTAACTGTTCCCCAACAGACCTCCTGGCTCCTGTGGGTCTTGTTTTCCCACCTATCTCCCAGCACCCCAATGAGCCCTCCCACCAGCACCCAGTACATCCAAGGCCTCACCCTGACATACTTAGGACAGCCCTTGTGCAGGCTGGGGACTCACCGACAGTGGTGATGGGCTTGGAGTAGGGCACCAGCCCCCAGGTGTCAGAGGAGAAGAGGCCCCGGCCGTGGAAGATGCATGGGGCAAAGCCAATGTACTTCTGGAACTTCTTCTGGACCCATCGGCCCCAGGATCCCTCCTCGAAGATCACCTGCTTGTACACCTCATTCTCCCCAAAGGAGTAGATGGGAACCAGGTCAGCTCTGGAAGGGAGAGGCCAGCGTCTGTCATTCCCCAATCACTGGCTTCAGTTCCCACTGTCAGCCCTCGAGGTCCTGGTACCAGCCAAGCTGCCCCTATCCCTGGGGGCAGACCAGAACCACATGTCCCCTCACAGCCAGAGTCTGATGGGCCCCTGCCTCCTGCTTGTGCCTGGGAAGCACCTGCGCTGGGAGGCTATGTTTGGTCTCATCCTGCACGTAGACCCCGCTTCCCCTGGGAAGGCCTCCCTGCCCCAGATTTCACTCGGCCCTGCAGTCAGCCCCATGTCACAGCCTTGGCGTACTGTGGCCCTCCTACTTCCCTGAAACAGGGACTGGGTCGGATTTGACTGGTTCAAGGGCTGGCTCATGGCTGGACTCTAGAGAACAGCCTCTAGCGAAACCTGAGTACGGTCCTGAGGGGACACAGAGGGGGATTGCTGTCTCCAAGGCACACTCCAGGATATGTCCAGTCCGATAGCATGGCCTAGTATCTCCCTATCTTGTGTGTAACTGCAGGCCACACCTCCCACTCTGCCCTATGCTCCACTGTTGGGCTGTCACTCCTAGAAGCTGCTCAGAGCCCATATCTGGGAGGAAAGCAGTCGACCTTAAGGTGTTTGGTTCTTCACCTCACAGTGTATCCCTGACTTAGCCTCAGTCTTCTTCAGTGGGAAATGGAGACCTTCAGTCTCCTTACCTGCTGGGTGGCAAGGGAATCAGAGGACAGTAGAAGCAGTGACTTTATCATACTAAATATACTGGACAGATGACAACACAGAATCTGCCTCTAGTTTTCCAGAAAGGGTCACAGAGACACTAGCTGTCCAGCCCCTCCCTGCTTGCCCTCAGGGTCACCCCTCCAACAACCCTTTCCCCTTGCTCCCAGCCACTCCATCCTCCTCCTGGCCTCCTGCTTCCTTAGCAGCATGGTGCATTTTGGCCCCAGGTGGTCCTGCATGTGAGCCAGGCTTCTTAGTGTACCTGTAAGGGCCCAGAGACCACAGGCCACATCTTTTCTCTACTCAGACACCTGTCTACCCTTGGGCAAACTCGGGGTACAGTGTGCAGTCTGGGCTCCGACATCCTCCCCTTCTCTGCCTTCCTGGGGTTCGAGCCCTGCCTCCAGGGACCCAGGGCCTTTGCCCTGGGCTGAGGAGATCACTGAAGTGGTATGTACTGGGGAACAAGGGAGCATTACCCGTGGCGCAGGGCCAGCTTCACAAAGCCTTTGCGGTTCTTCAAGGTAACGGCGTTTTTGCCAGGCATGGAGCTCAGGGACTCAGCCGCACCCCCCACCACGATGATGATGGCATTGCCACTCCCATTCTTTGACAGCAAGTAGTCTATGGTGTCCCGGTTGACAGGGCAGATGCCTGGGGGAAGGGGAAGGACAGGCAGTCAGGAATTCTCATGGATGCATGCCTACCCCTTGCACTCAGTCAAGCATAAAACAGAAAACTCTGTATATGGGTCCCAGAGCCAACCCACCCACTTAGAAGCTGTATGACCCTATAAAAACGATTCATTTCTGCGAGCCTCAGCTCTCCTATCTGGAAAATGGGGGTAGTGAAATGAGGCTGACTGGGGAACTCATTTATTCAGCAAACATTCCCTGGGGTCCTAACTCTTGTCAGGTTGGTGGTGCTGGGGATCCCAGTGAGTCAATGGGCACTGGACAATGACAGTGCCCTCTACAATGCTGAGGGCATACAATGGGCAGTGCGAGGGCTAGGGTGCCCAGAAAAGGGGGTCAAGAGAATGCCTCTCAGGGGAGCTGTTATGTAAGCTGAATCCTGAAGACAATGGGAACCGCCCTCCTGCTCAGCCCTGACCCTGCGCCTTTGGCATCTCCCTGCATATGACCAGCACAGGGAATGGCATGTTAGTTCCCTGTGCTGCCCTGCTCAATGGGGAGGCTCCATGACAGCACAGTCCAGAGGGCAGACAGAAGTGGACTTCACCTCCTGACATCAGGTATTCTCGCAGTACAGGCATCCGGAAGTTGCCAGCCAGCGTGGCCAGGTAGGGCCGTATACCAGGGAACTTCTTGCTCACGTCAGTAGCCTCCGTGCTGAAGTTGCAGAAGGCACCCAGGCCCATGATGCCATGGGGGTGGTAGCCAAAGATATAGTTCCTGGTGGTTGGCAGGTTGTATGTCTTTACCAGCTGCAAAGAAAGCCTTGGATCAGAGGCAGCATGCCTAAAACGTGGCTGCCCCATTTCCCTTGGGACTCTGTGGGCCCAAAGGACTGCAGAGACTCTCCCTACTGACTTTCGACTGTCATCATTGGCGCCACAGTGCCAGCAACTGGCAGCTACCATTTGAATTGAGTCTCTGGGAAAGGGGAGCCTTTCTCCCTCATTCCCCTTGTTTCCAGCCAAACATACACCTGATCTACTTATTCACATTCACCCAGACTCCTGCCTCCCACCCTCTGGGCCCATCTTCCTCACCACAGCCACAGTGATTACTCTAAAACCCAAGTCCAACTCATCATCCTCAACTAAAGAGAGGTATCCAGCCTCCATCAGGGTAAAGTCAAAGATCCTTAGTTTGGCACATTAGGTCTTGGCTGTAGGTGCTGTTTCTACTGTCAATCTCCCCAAACAAGGAGTTCCTTGGAGGTAGGGATCATTTGGCCTCCACTCATGAGCTCATGGAAGGAATCACAAGGAACCGTGCAGCCTGCCTCCTACTCCTTTGGCCCAGGCAAGTGCCAGTGCAGACGGCCTAAATGGAAACTTCCTGCCAGGCAGCCAGGCCCAGCTCACATTCAGGGGCAGGAAAGACAGGACAGGGCAGATGTCAGCCCTTGTGCGAGCCAGCCCCGGGGGACAGGGGAGGGGAGAGGGGCAGAGCTGTACGCTGTAACAGCCCATGGTCTGACCTGTGGTCTATCTGCAAAGCTGTCCTGGGATGTTCCAAGGCATAACTGGCTCCCTCAGGGCTCAATACCTGCCCTGAAGTGGGGGGTGCAGAGGGTGTCATAGTGCAAAGTGTCCTTAAACCCCGAGCAGCCAGGCACTGAGCCTGAGGCACCTACTCCCCATCACAAGGCACGTGATGAGGGCAGAGGGTGCTGAGAGGCAGAGAGTAAGGGTGTTTTGTTCCTAAAATACTGCCTTTTTCTGATTAGAAAAATAACAAATGCTCAGAATTTTTTAATTTTAGGAAAGAAAATCAAAAGCATCTGCTACACCTCCATCAGATAAGTCACTGTGACATACCAGGTCTTTTTCCTCCTTAACTATACACATGGCCTTTGTCAAAAAATGCAAAAAATGCAAAAATGCTATAGAATTGCCACCATTTTGTATCATTTTCTACCAAACACATCCTTATTATTTATCCTTACTAGAATCCCCAGCTACATGTCTGCTCAGGGCTACATTATTCTATGGCACAGCTATGTTACACATCATAGCAATGACTCAATTTCTGATTGATGGACATTTTGATTGTCCAGTTTACCCTCATAGAAATAATACATCAATAAATACCTTATCTCTGTCCACATATCTGATGGTTTTCATGAGATAAACTTCCAGAAATAGAATTCCTGAGTCAAAGGGTATAAACATGTTGGTCTTTTTGGCTGCCCTTCCTCCAGGGAGGCGACGCCATTAACATTCCCACCTGAATGCTTAACAGTGTCCCTTTCCTGCACTCATGCCACCTGGAAGCAGAGTCCCCAGCTCTGGGCACAGCACTGAAAGCCCAAATTTTCCATGACTCCAGATTTGGGGACCTCTTGGCTGAGGGTCCTTGAGCTCAATTTAAGTGCTAGGGGTGCTGATGATGGCCTCAGAGAATAGAAAATCTAATCTTCAGGTTACAGGGCCTGAAGGGGATAGAACAGGAGTGGCTGTCACCATTCCAAGTTCTGGAGCTGCCCACACATGGGCAAGATTCCCTAATGTCACCCTTGTTGTATGTGACATTGGCACTCTCTCTCCCACTCCACCTTTGGCAAGCAGATTAAAGTTGATTGAAAACTCACCCAGCTCCCAGCTGCTCACCAAGAACTGGGGAGCAGCACCAGGCTAATTCATGGAGAGCTGGTAGTGGGGGGTGGTCTGAATGGAGTCTAAGTTCACCAGAGCTCTAAAAAACAGCTATGCCAGGGTTCTGCCCACCTAGCTGGCTCTCAGGAAAGCCATAATTCAAAGCACTTGGGAGGATTTCCACAGAAAAGGCAGGCACTGAGGAAGCACTGAGCAGAGGCAGCCAGGTCCAGGCTGAAAACTTGCTCCTGAGCTGCTGGCCAAGCCTGGGGCCTGCCCTGACAAACTGGAGCCCGAGGCACAGAATGGGTGGTGGAGCCCTGAAGAGCCTGGATTCCTTGGATGGCAAAGTGGAGACAGGACCTAGAGAAAGAAGCTGCTGCTTCCCCTGAGGAGGTCATGGAAAATCCTCTCCACACCTGGACATGGTCACCCTGCTGCACAAAGCCACACTTTTCCACTGTGATGGTGATCCGTAAATCATTTCCTCTTTCCCCAAGCCTTTTTCAGATGGGATATGAGGTTAAATGAAGTTTCTGGGCATTGTGCTGGTTAATGGCCTTTACTGTAGTACCCAGAAGAATGGAGGCACTCAATACAGCTTTGATCCACCTTCATATCACATTCCCTTCCCCCCAGAACCAGACTGAATGTCAACTCTGGAGAGGAAGAAAAAGGACACTGCTGCTGAAGGCTTTTATGTCCCCTGACTGTTTCCCATGGCAAAGAACCAGGCAAACAGGGTGCCCATGCCAAGTCTACTGGCCAACATGAGCCTGGGACACATTCCTGGCAGGGTACTCTTCACCCTATGCCTTCTAGACCAGGAAAGGTGCTCAGAAGCACTTGTCCTATGCCAGCCCCACACAGAGGAAAACATTCAGGCAAGGGATGAGTGAGACTCACCCAGACAGGGCACTGTGGCAGAGAAACAGGGCAGCAAGAACATGGCCCCGGGGGACCAGGGACTTAGCTCAATGGTGCCATGCCTGCCTTGCAAACACAAGGTCCTGAGTTTGATCCCTGGTACTGAAAAAAGAACATGGCCCCGGGGAAGGCAGCTCTGGCTCCCACACCAGGTCTGCTATGGACTTGCTTTGTGACCTTGATATAGTCCATCCTCTCTCAGCCTCAGTCTGCCGATCTGTGAAATGAGGTGGTTGGTCAGAGAGATGAGTCTAAGCTCAGAATCTTTCCTAGTCTCCTCTCCAAAGGAGGTGACACAGGGCACTGACTACTCTTCTCCTAGGTAGCTAGTAGTCCTGGTGGCTGCTGCTGACCACTGAGCCTCACGACTGCCAGGAAAAGTGATGCCCTCTGGGATAGCTAAGATGCCCTAGTGGCAAAGAGCACAGAGCTCACAAAGAAGAGAGTAAGGAGGGGTGTGTAGGTACAGGCAGAGATTACAGATCCTCATTACACAATCAGTGGGTGGCAGGAGACCAGGACAAAGGGGTGTGAGAGGAGCATCACACACAACCCTACAGTCCAGACATTAATCAACAAGACCAATTTCTCTCTCAACAGTGGGGATCCTGAGACTCCAAGGAGCAGGGGGCAGAATCCAGCACAGGCTTCAGGCTGCAGCTCAGTGGTTCCTGGCATGCACATGTCCTGCAGTTCCAACTTGCAGCTGACTTCTTGGAATGGAGATGTGATAAGGAGATGGGGCTTGTTTGGGTTCTTTTGGGAAGATGGAGATCAGGTGAGGAAGGACACCTGCCTGTCCTAGGTCTGATCAGTGGTCATCAGCTCATCCTGTTCTGGGTGGAGATGGCTACAAACCTCCAGGAAGCTTCCTGAGGATAAGGCTACAGTGCAAGAGAGTCCTCTTTGGAACTCAATGTCCTCACTTCCAAGAAGAGAAGGTTGGGTCCTATGATGCAATAGCCTCCCAGCAACAATGACCTCAAATTATGTGCAGGCAGAGAAGTGGGGGTCAGGCAAGGGAGGGAAGGGAGCCCTGACCTCAAGGAGCCAGACAGCCCCGGGAAGAGAGAGGCACAGAACAGAGTCCATAGTTGTTCATCTCAACTATAATTTTGAGTTTATAATCTTTAATTAAGACTTATATAATCTTTAATCTATATATAATGGCCATAATATACACTATTATACCTGCTCCTTACATCACTCAGGCTCTCTGTAAATGAATGATCTTCAGATCCAAAGGCTAGAACAAGTTATTTCCCAAAGAGCTAGTAAGTTTCTTCCTTTCCCAATATAAGAAGCCAATGAATAACTATGTTTCTTTCTCTTTTGCTTTGGCTGCCAGGAAGCTAAGAGCTGAATGTGAACTGAAGCAGCAACTGTTTCTCCTTAAGGCTGAAATATTAGTGTTTCCCTCAAGTCTAGATTTTTTTCCTTTGCCCAGTTTATGGGATTTTATGTTATCTGAAGTTCTTTCACATTCTGCAGAAAGGAAGGGATACTATGAATGGCTCACAGTGGGAGGTCCCACACAGTTCAATTCACACATGGGTTCACTGTGCACAGGAGGGATAAGGCCTGGACTCAGATTCCATCCATTCTCACCCTCCCAAAATAACAACACAAGTCTTTACCTGGATGGGAAAGTAATCTCGAAAGTAGCGCCACACAGCCCAGTTTCGTACCCATTGTGACCTCCTGCCACCTTCCAGGGAACAAAATACAGTGTTAGGAGGAACTAGGACTGGAGGACATTTGGACAAGGCTGCCCAGACAGAGCCAGTGCGCAACCCTGAGGTGGGTGACCTCACCACCCTGAGCCCTTGCCCCTCCCACCCTCCTTTCCCTCCTTGTCCCTCCCATCTTATAACCCATGACTGACAGAACCCCCCAGAGCCACTCACCTTTCTTGGGTGTGTCCCAGTCGAAAGCCAGCCAGGTGAAGTAGAGCACCGCAATGAGCCAGCAGTCAGTGCAGAACGTGTACATTAGGATGGCGCTGCAGGCCACTCCTGGGGAAGCCAGATTGCCACAGGTCAGGCTCTGGGCTCCAGTGGGCCTCAGCCTCCCCTCCTGGCAGTGGTGGAGTTAGTGTGTCCTGTGGCAATAAACTAGGACCTCAGGTTCAAAGCCCTAGCCCCAGAGACGGCTGGCTCTTACCATTCTCCAGCTAGCTCCACTCTAGATTCCTGAGCCAGCCTCTCCCCAAGGTGGCTTAAAACAGAGTACAGCTACCTTGGGAAGGGTGATGAACAGAGTGACCAGACATCTGGTTTCTCAAGGCCAAGTTAGGACTGTGACATCGCAGATAGGGCAGCTGAGTTTGGGGAAGCATCTGTACCCCACAAGTTCCCATTAATGGCTGTGGAGTCCTGAAGGCAGCTGGGGAAAAAGCCATGACTACGCCAAGGCTGCTTACAAAGTCACACAGGCCCCTTCTGCAGGCCTAGCAAAGGGTCCCCTGTCACCCCCAGACTCTACAGGGATCCAAGCTCCTGCAGATCCTTGGTGATACACCAGGCAGGCCTGGGCATGGTTCAAACTAGGTTGTGAGCTGCCAGCAAACCCCAAGCCCTCCTGAGGAGCAGATGGGCCAGGAGGCCTGAGCCCAAGGCCTGCTGTTTGGAGGGCCGGTTGCTCTGAGAAGGGTATTCTGACTCACTGCTAAGGCAGCCTGGAGGAAAGAGAAAAGAACTGAGCTGGGTCCAGAGACTGCATGCTCGCCCTGGTCTTTCTCAGCAGGTGGTCAGCACTGCCCCCACCCCCTGACTCTACCATGGGGCATTTTTGCTATTAGACTACCTCCAGCAGACAGCCCTTTGTCCTTTAGGGCTAGAACCACATCATGCAATCTCTACAGGCCCAGCTACTAATACTCAGCAGGTTTACTGAGCACAAGAGTGAACTAAACCCACCAGGGGATCCTTTCTGAGAGCCTGGCCTCCTTCTCTCAACAATGGCCTGTTCCCTGTTTCACCTTTGTAGATTGTAGGGCTGCAGTAGGGACCAGCGTCAGGGGCCCATGAGATATAAGCAATGTGCTTGAAAGCCCCTGCTTGCTACACATGGGAAAGTCTCGGGACCACCTTCACACATCACCCTCTCCCTGCATGTCCAGTTGGCCCACAAAGCAGCTAGGGTTGGAAAACTCTGCTGCCCCAAGCCCCTGGCACAGGGCAGTCTGTGGACTCTCGATGGCAGGGGAAGCAGTGGTGAGCCCTGAGGAATAAGGACTCTCGGACCAAACAGACCTAGAGATTTGGCCCTACCATGTACTGGCCAGGTTCTGGATCTCACCCTCTGCTTCCTTCTAGAGTGCTGGGAAGACGAAATGAGATGATGTTTGAACTTAACACTCCACCTGGCACACACTGCCTGTGGACTTGGTTGGGGCAACAAGTGATATCTAAATTTTCACTTATCTCTTATGGAAATTTAGCATTTCCTTCACTTAGAAATGTAACAAGCCACAGAAGTAATAGCAGTGGCTGTTGACATGACTCTAGCAGATAACAAAGACATTTTCACAACACAGAGCAGTTGCAGATACCTTAAAAAAATCTTTCTTTTAATAGCCACTTAAAAATCACAGCAGTTATTAAACCTGCAGCTAGATTTTTTTCTAACATTGTGACAATAAAAAAGAAAATACATGTTTTACTATGTGCTTAACTGGGTTTTTCTAATGTGTACATATTATAGCCTAACATCATTGGTTTCCTTTGAAACACAATGTATTGTATATTACATTTAAAAGCACTTAGAAGGTCTGCAGCCTTTACCAGAATACCTGGGAGACCCAGGGCACAAAAATGGTAAACACATACACACATACACACACACACACACACACACACACACACACACCCAGCTGAGCCACAGTAGCCTTCACAATACCTGGTGAGCCTCTGACAGAGGCGTGAGATACAATGGGAAGGGCTGGCTGGGCTGCTCAGGGTGGTAATCAGCAGCAGTGTAACAGACCTGCCCTTCCAACCAGGCCCAGCTCCCGCCTACATGAGATTGAGAAGACAGGCTGGGCAGGTTTCTGGGCTGTGGTTGGGCCTGATCTATTGTTAACCCACTGCTTGGGGACAATCCCCATAGCATGCTGTGTGGGCTAGGATTCTACAAGCTGTTCAGTGCCCCAAGAGCCAAGTGCTGACCCACTAAGACAGGGACAGTAGTGGCTTCTGTGTGCAAGTGGGGACAAAGGAAGCTTGGTGTAGCAGACTAGGCAGGGGTCTAGGAGGCTGAAGTCTCTGGATCCTTTTTTTTTGTTGTTGTTCCTTTCAGGACTAGATACTGAACTTGGATCTCTGAGCTATAACCCAAGCCCTTCTTATTTTTATTTTTTAAATTTTTGAGACAGGGTTTTGCTAAGTTGACCAGGCTGGCCTCAAAATTGTGATCCTCCTGCTTCTTAAACCCAGAGGAGCTGGGATTATTAGCATGAACCACCATGTCCCCAGCCCGAGGTTCCTGACCTGGTCCCTCTACTTTCTTCTCAACTACGAGCAGACTCTGTTCCAACTAAGCCCCTGTTTTCTATCCAAATGAGGAGGGGCAACACAGGGCTCTCTACTCCAGGATTCTAATAGGTGGCCAAACCAAGCTAAGGGTTTAATTTTTAAAATTGAGTTTAATTTATTTCCCAAACCAATATCCTTTCTGAAGCCATATGTGCCTATACGAATATAAAGACTGCTATAGCCCTTCTTCCCACAAAAATGGGCACACAGTTTTGCATATGATTTTACGTCTAGTTTTAGGGGTTCAAGAACTCCCTCAAAGACCACTCTTGGACCTAAAGGTGAAAGACTGACTGTTTCAGGCCAGGCCCTCTAATTCTGGCCTCCCTGGTAAGGTGGGCTCTTTCAGGAGTGCACTGACTTCCACTCAAAACCCCACCGCTGCATCATAATCAGGTGGTCACAGAACCTCTGTGATTTCTACTTCCTCACCTCTCAAGTGGGGATTTGAAATTTGAGAATAGACATGTCAAGGGCCTGACAAATAGTGGCATTTGTCTCATCCCTCTGCCCTGCAAGGACAGTTGCTCGCCAGCTCCTGATCATCTCCACTAGCTTGGCCAGCCCTGAAGAGTTGAGTTCCCCAGAGGCCCTTGTTCACAGGCCCTAGAACACAGCTGAGGCCCTGTAGCAAGTCTGTCTAAGCTGACATGCTAGAGAAGTGACCTGCTGTGCTGGGGAGCCAGGGCTGGGCAGGGAGGAGAGGCTGCCAGGAGAGCTGGGCCCTGCTCTCCTTCTAGACAATCCGTGCTGTCCAGACCCTAGCCTACATGGCAGGAGGACCCTTGCTAGACTGCAAAAGCAGTAACCCTCCTACTGATATGCCAGTTTTCAAAGGCTGCAGGTATCGGCTGTGTTCAGTGCAGGTGGGAGAGGGCTGGGGCCTCAGGACACTTCCTTTCTCGAGGCCCAAGCCCCATGCATGTGCTCATTCTTTATTTTCAATTCTCATCCACTAAAGCCATGTGAAACAGGTGACACATTCTCATATTCAAAGGGAGGAAGCTAATGTTCATAGAGCTCAAGTAATCCGTATAAGGTCACAGAGCTTGTTTGGACTCAAACCTGGCAACATAACACTGAAATGTAAACCAACACACCTGCTAGAAAAAGTTTGTCTGTGGGCAGAGCGGCACTGTGGGAAAGGCACAGGCTCTGGGGTGTCACAGACCTTCAGGTGATTTTGGGTAAGTGATCTACTGCTCTGAAACTTCAAGTTTCCCATTTGTAAAATGGGACCACACCACCACTTCCCATTGACTCATTCACTGGGCTACCTGCATCCCATGGGCCCAAAAGATGGGAAGTAGGAAGAAGCTATGGAGAGGATGCTCCTGCTCTGACCTCTGTGGGGGACATGGCCCTGCCAGCCCCTCACTGCCCCATCCCACCCTCAGCTCCACTTACCTAGAACAAGGAAGGACAGGACCCACTGTAGTACCGAGATGACCTGAAGCTGCTTTTCCACTTTGGATCTGTTCAGCCAGGTGACAGAGAAGAGGTCCTGGAGAGCGGAGAGGATGCTGGAGCCAGTTCCTGCAGCACAGGGAGGTATCAGGCTACTGCCACCCTTCCATCAAGGACCCCAATGCTAACCCCACTCCCACAGGTGCCTTCCTAGATGTGAGGCAAGAGCCGCAGAATCAGACACACCTGAATAGATCCTCATCCTAAAACCAAACAACTTTATAACACAGCTGTTTACAAGCTTTCCTGGGCCCCAGTTTCTATATATACACAATGGAAATGGTATCTCCCTCATTGGGTCATTTGAAGACCAAATGCAGTATCTAAAAGGCTGGCCCAAGAGCTGGGCCTTCAGGAGGCTTCCAGAATAGCCAGTTCTAGTCCTTCTGCCCTTCTTTGCCAAACTCCTTCCAAAATCCTGTCCAAACTCCTGTCCTCCTCTTTTATCTGGATCTGGCACAAATATTTAATTTTTGCTATCGGTGTCTGTGAGGCCAAGGACAGAGGTTCAACATCCAATTTGCAATTTTTTTTCCTCCAAGTGTACTTTGAGCATCTCCAACCCCTGCCGTGCCCCGCTTTTCCCCAGGACTTACACCCTTTTCCAAGGAATTGAGCCGCTTGCTCCCACCTCCAACCCTACCAATCCCAAACTCCTTCTACTCGCAGAAATGTATCTGTTCGGCCTCATCTCAGTGCTCAAAGCTTGGGACCCAGAGAGGAGCAAGGTGGGACCCTTTGCATCCCTGAGGAACCCAGTGGACAGAGAGCTTCAGGTAGCTTGGAGGACACAGAGGGCTATAATTATGTTTGCTACCAAGCAAATGCCAAGCGTGGAAGTGAGAACAAAATGTACTCATTTAATTGGCTCTGTGTCTGTTCCCCCAGGATGACGCCCTGGACTCCAGCAGCTGATGTGCAGTGAAGCCAGGAAGCCTGGTCCCTGCAGAAGGCAGTGCTGGGGAGGAGCATGAGAGAAACTCCTGATCCATGTGCACTCCTTCCAGTGCTGGACTACAGCAGGGGCCACCCCACACCCCTCCTCTGTGGATCCCCTTTGCTTAGCATATCTTCACTGGGTGCCTACGCTGTGCTGCCAAACATTGCTCCCTACTACCCACTGTGCAAGGCCCAGCATACACGCCTCAGTCACCATCTTGTCCTTGAGGATCTCATGACCTTTCACCCTGACCTACAAGCTAGGGCTGGAGAAAGGGGGTTTTAGAGGCTTACACTCACAGCTCTGCTTTCCCTCAAAATCCACAGCAAGCTCACAGGAGAGTTTGGAAAGGGACATACCTTTCCTCAGCTGAAAGCTAACAACTGCTTTGAGTTTTAGGGGGCAGGTAGGAAATGCCAGGCCTCAGAGGGGACACACCAGTCTGGCCCCTTTACCTGGTCTAATGGATTAGAGGGAGGGGCTTGGTATAGCAGAGTGTCAGACCCTTAGTTCCAGTCACTGTGTGACTCCAGGAAAGAACACAGGACTCTCTGCTAGGACATGCCCACACTAGGTCAGTAGCATCTAATATTCCACAGATACAACTGGGGTAAAGCTGACAGTATATGTCACAAAAGCAAATAAGAGGCTGGACCCCAGAGCCAGTGCAGAGGTTGGGTTTAGCACTACTCTTTCCCTGTTTTATAAAAATTCTACCATCACAGGCCCTTCCCACCTCCACACTTGCCCTGGGGCTATTTCCTGGAGATGAAAGGCTCTGTAAGGTCATCAGGATACCCTCATGGAGAGTGGAGCCCAAAGAGGGGCACTGACTCTCCCGAATTTTTCCAAGCAATAGATGGAAAGTAGGAACCCAGGATGCTTGCCCCAGCGCATAGCATCACCCCTTTCCTCACAGAAGCTGCTCCATGCAAAGGGTTCATCCTGAGACACAGCAAGTCCAGGGGTAGGCCATGTTCAGGGACTGATACACCTGCCCAGCAGTGGGGCCTGGACAGAAACAGTCATAATCAGATATCTTTGAGAGCCTCATGAATTTTTACCATGGCCTAGATGTGAAGAGAGGCCTGGGTAAGTACATGAGGGAGGGAAGTGAGGCCCAACCATGGGCCTGAACCCCTGATTCAAGTCTGATCAGCAGCAGGCTCTGCCTCCTGAGCTGTGCAGGATGAAGTGATACAGAAGCCATGGCCATAGAGGTGGGTCATGGGAAGGTGAGTCCCTGCTGTATCTGGAGCAGACTAGATAAAAGGTACTCTAGCACTTTGCTACCCAAAGCATGGCTTGGGAACTGTGGTGTCTGATTACCCTTGAGCTGGTTAGAAATGGCCAGATCTCCTGAGTCAAACTGACATTTTGACAAGACCCCAGGTGATTAAATGTGAGAAACACAACTTTAAGTGCCTCCGTACAAAGATTCAGGTGCAGCAAGATTGGGGTACGGCAGAGAGGTAGGCGCTACTACTCTCTACTGGGCAGGAAATAAGGGTAACAGAAAGCATCAGACATCTCGTGGATCTCTGAGGCAAATGGATAGAGGAGAACTTAATTCAAGGTGTACAGGGAGTCACTTATTGAGGAACCCCTGCTTTGGGATAGCCAACTACAGTTGGGGACAGAACTCTGGCTTGGTGGAGGAGTACAGAAATTCTTTATTGGTGACAAACCCCATTAAAACAACTGAGAATACCTCCTGGGTAGACGTACTGGGGGCGCGGCTGCCAGCTCCACTCCCACAGTTCCTACATGGCCTGCCACAGAGCCAGCCCAGGAGCTGGCCCGTCCATAGATGCTGAACCCCAGATTCCAATGGAAGCCCTCAGTGGGCCTCAAAGATATTGAGTCACTGCTTTCCTGCCTAGAAGGCCTCTCCCTGCTCTGTCCATTTAATGATTTCCTGACCGTGAGATGAAGCAGCACATCTTCAAACCCTGGAGAGGGCATCATGTGTTCCAGGAAGCCTTTGAAAAGCGGTCTTTCTTTCTCTGGAGAACTCAAAGGACAATGCAAGCCTGGATCATTCAGGTGCCATCCTGTTACCCCAGGGAGATTTTCTGCCTAAAGATGAAAGTAGGAGAGACCAGCATATGGAAGGAACTAACTTCCCCTTTGTAAGTTGATTCTCACATCAGATGGGAAACTGGCTGAAGTCCAGATCTGGGTCTGATCCACATTTGGGTCCCCAGTGTCCTTCCAGGGCCAAGGCCAGAGCAGGCACTCAGTAAGGTTTGCTGAGCAAGAGGAAAAGAAGCTCCCTGTCCAAGAGGACCATGAAGTTTTCAGGTCCCCAAAGCACTTGAACTCCTGTTAAATTTGGCATCATCACCCCATTTAATGGTGATATACGACGAAGGCTACTCAGCCAAGGAAGGTCAGAGTTAGACTCAATTCAGGCCCAACTTCCGGGCCCGTGTCTGCCCCTCTCCTACAGGTTCCCCCACATTCCTTTTCTCTTGTCTTCACGATGAAGCTGAGGAAGCCTGGGAGAGACAGGGGAAACCAGCGCTCTGTTTTCCTTCAGAGGAGTGGGTCAGGAGCAGTGCAGCAACTCCTTTAGAGTTCTGGTCCAAGTTGTCTGCCAACAACTCTTGCATTGACTTGACCAAGTTACTTCACCTCTCTGGGCTATCCCATCTAAACATGGGGGCAAGGAAGATAAACTTTATGATCCCTAGGGCCCCCCTTTCCAAGGGCTCCTAGCTAAGTATTATATTTGGGACATATTGTTCAGGAATCTGTAGCAGAAGCTCTGGGCCAGTCGCCTGAGCAGCCAGGAAGTGAGGGTTCAGTTGGGCATCCCCAGGCCACGGCCAGCCCTCGCCATCCAGCTGTCAGCTCTTCTTGTGCCTTGCTTGTGACTGGGAGGGGTCCAGGAGAAGCTGGTGGATGCCAATGCTGCAATCAGATGCCACCACCTTCACACCCAGCCTGACTTTCAGGTGTGAGCCTCTGCAGCCAGCCAAGCCCCAGCTCCAGTCTGCTCCTTCACCACCCGAGCCTCCCTGGGCACACTCACACTCTCTCTGTACTCTGTCATAGCACCAGGCCCATTTAACAGCCCATGGCTGTTCACTCAATCATCTCCCCTCTCTGCCAGGGTCTTCTGGGTGCCAGGGCTGGACCCTAACTCATTTGGGTGCTCACCGTTCTGCAGAGCCTGGGGAGAGAAGGAGCTCATGGAGGTTTCCTCCATGGCTGAATAAATTCATAAGCCCAGAGGCAGCAAAGGCCTAGATGCCCAAGTTAGCATGGGCTACTCGCAAGAGGACAGGAGGCCACACCAGCCATGCCAGCCCTGTCACTGTAGATCCTGGAGCTTTTCCTGCCTCCCATACACACAAATTTCCCTGCCTGGGAAGAAAGAGAGACTTCCACCTACAAATGTCTGTTGTTTTTTCATAGAGACAAGACAGGACCTGGAGCAAGCTGACTGGTCCCCTGAAGAAAAGATTCTCAGTAGCCAATTCAGACAGCTGTTCCCAGGCACCATGTGTTGTATACAGCTCATCTGCTTCTCCACTTGGGGAGGGAGCAGGAGGAGAGATGCCCAAAAGGCCCTGAGTAATTTTCTTACCTTTCAGAAAGCAATCCCTCCCCCAAGTCAATATGGCATACACTGCCATACAGTACAGCACTGACAAGGCAGGGACTGGAACCTCATTTCACAGAGGAGGAAACAGGTGAGGAGAACTCAAAAGCCACTTGCTTATGGTTGGAGTATAGGAGCCAAGTCTTAGGGAAAGTATTTGGGCCCCAAATCTCTCCTTATTCCTACAGTGCCACATCACTGAGGACTTGTCCCCACTAAACAAGCCAATCTATTCGCAAACTTTAGGAAAAGACATCCTGGCTTAGGAGGGCTGTTTACTCTGCCCCACACCTTCCCTTAAATTTCTCAGGAACAGGTGTGTGTAGACTGGCAGTGCAAGAAGTGTGAACTCCCACCAGGTGCTTCCACAAGTCCAGATGCCTGCAGCAGTGAGACCAAACAGCCTCAGTCCCAGGACCCAGCCCAGGCTGGGGGTGGTGGCAGGTATGTTAGAAACTTCTTGCCCAACATTTGATATTGGTGACCAGGGAGGCCACACCCCAGGACCAATGAAACCAG